CCTCATAACTCATTTTTAGTTAGTTTACATTACATTTCACAAATGTCTATGTTTTCTGATCTGCATAGTACTAACTTTTCTTTCCTAAATTAATGATAGTAATCATCAATACATCAAAAGTAACTTAAATCTGACATTACATTTGAGTTGGGGTTTTAGTAGGAATGGGAACTTGCTGCCATAAGAAATTGCATTATGCTAAAGATCCAGAATGAAAAGGCTTTACTGACCCTTAGAGAAACCAGTTGCCCTAATGTTTGGTGCATCCCTGAATTTAGAGTCTCAGGTAAAGTGACTTCAGCGTTTTCAGTTTAGAGAGCACTGTGGAAGAGGCATATATCTATTGTGCCTAGCATTTTACTACAGAGAGGATTAAATTTTTTCCTCTCCAGAGGAACAAGAGATGCTCCCTAAGAACGTTTACATAGTTCTATCCCTTAAAGGAAATCTTTGAAGCCAGTGGCCTTCTAAAATAGAGTTGAAACGCAAAAGTACAATAGCGAATTAGTTTCCATCACTATGTATACGATTCTGAATCAAGTGGCTTTGAGGAAACCTCTTTTTAAGAACTTTCTGGCTGGGCATGGTGTCTCAGGCCTGTAATCCTAGCACTTTGGGAGGTCAAGGCGGATGTATTGCTTGAGCCCAGGAGTTAGAGGCCAGTCTGTGAAACATAGCAAGACGCCATCTCTACAAAAAATTAACTGGTTGGCGACATGCACCTGTAGTCCCGGCTACTTGGGAAGCTGAGGCAGAAGGGTCACCTGAGCCCAGGTGGGAGCCTTGGTGAGTTGTCCACTCCAGCCTGGTCGACAGAGACCCTAACTCAAAAATAAAAAAGAACTTACTATTAGTGATTGCTAAGTCCTGTTTTGGGTCTTTTTACATGTTGGCCCAAAAGTTTTTGTCATTCTCTGTAGCTGTAACTTCTTAATCATAGCTAATCAGAGAAGCTATTTCATCCCAAGCTGAAATCCATTGCCTCAAATGGAGCTAGGCTTTTATCTTGAGAGGCTTAAGCAATCCTCCCACCTTAGCCTCCCAAGTAGCTGGAACTACAGGTGAGTACCAACACACCTGGAAAAGGTTTTTTGTATTGTTAGTAGCGACAAGGCTGGTCTTGAACTCCTGGGCTCAAGCGATTCTCCCACCTCAACCTCCCAAAGTGCTGGGACTAAGCCACCCCATCTGGCAGGAACTACGTTTTATTGAGCTACTATCCCATACAAATTTTGAAAACAAACTGTTATATATTGATGACTGATTCATAACACTCATGTGCTGTTACTATTTGAGGCAGCTAAAATAGAATGCTGTAAAAAAAAAATCCACGTTTTCAGAAATATTGAGACATGAACTTAATCTTTTAATTCCCCAATTTTTAGCAACTTTTGTTTTGTTTTTTTTTTTTTGAGCTGGAGTCTCACTCAGTCGCCCAGACTGGAGTGCAGTGGCCGCTCCCGGCCACCGCAGCCTCGACCTGCTGGGCTCCGGCGATCCTTCCGCCTCAGCCTTCCGAGTAGCCGGAATTACAGGCATGCGCAACCACGCCCGGCTGATTTTTTCATTTATTGTAGAGATGAGGTCTCGCTGCCCAGGCGGGTCTCGACCCGCGGGCTCAGGCAATCCACTCACCTCAGCCTCCCAAAGGCACGGGGTTACAGGCTGAGCCACTGAGCCCAGCTTGCAACTTTTGTTTTAACAGACTTAGTTCTTGAGAAGAAACATTAAATAACTTTAACTCATTTAATTGCTCCAGATCATATTAATCTGAATTTCCTAGGAAAGAAACATATACTAATGCTGAAATCTAGTGTAAAAGGCTTTTCAAACTGTCAAAATGCAGTGTCTAATACCAAGGATATAAATTACTCAGCTTTCTACTACTAAAGCTGAAAGGTTTAGACTTTTAGTGAGAAATTAACTGTGAAAACCAGTGTGTTATTAAGAGGTCACAGAAATTTACGTAACAAAAGACACCAGTCTGGTCATGATACTCTTCTACTCAAAAGTATTCAATGGCTCCCTGTTTCACTCTGAATGTGTTACTTTTCTATTACTATCATAACAAATTACCACAAACTCAAGGGCTTAAAAAATGCAAATTTATTATTTTACAGTTAACCCAGGTCAGAACTCCGGTGAACTTGGATGCCTCTCTGCTTAGTCTCACAAAGTCAGTAAAGAACTCAGCAGGGAGGTGTTCTGAGATGCTCTAGGGGAGAATTCGTTTCCTAGCACATTCAGATTTTTGGCAGAAAGCAGTTTCTTGTATTTGTAGAAATGATGTCTCCATTCTCTTACTGGCTGTCAGTTGAGGTCATTCTCAGATTCTAGAGGCTCTTTATCTTACTGGGGCAGTTGGGGGGGAGGGCAGTGCAGTTTTCTTCCAAGTTTGAGGGTTGTGATTAGACTGGGCCCACCTGAATAATTTATTATTCATCTCCCCATCTCAGTCCATACCCTTAATCACACCTAGGTAGTCTTCCTTGCCATGTAATGTATTTAACATATTCACTGGTTCAGAAGAATAAGATCTTTGCAGCCATTATTCTGGCCACCACAAAAGAGTAACAGACAAAATCCTTATAAATGTCTAGAAGATCCTATGTAATCTGAGCTCCCATCACCTCTCATTTCTTTTCCTACTGCTATGACTCCTGTTTTTTCATCTCTAACCTCCTCCACACTGTTCCTTGAACAAACCAGACAAACTTTTGCCTTTGTCCTAACTGTTCCCTCTGCCTGGAATGTTTCTCCCAGATTCTATTCTGCTAACCACTTCATTCCCTTCAAATCTTTGTTGAACTCTCACCTTCTCAATGAGGACTACCATGAGGACTACCTGCTTAATACTCTAGCATTTCTGATCATTTTATCCCCCACAGCACCCATTATTCTCTAACTTACTCTAATGCCTTATTTACCATGATTATTTCCTGCTGTTTCTTCCCACTAGAATGTTAGCTCCACAAGAGTGGGGAACTGTCTTTATTCCTCTGATACACCTCAAGGCCCTAACACATACTAGCTCAATAAATATTACCTGACCTGGTTGCTGAATAAAGTTCTCCAAATATTGACTGATGAAATTACAGGTATCTATGCTCTTCTTGTAGGACACATAAACTGCAGCAGAGCTGCATGAAACATTGAATTATATCTCCTTGGTTCTCACTCATTTCTGTTTCCTAAATCAATGATATAAATCAATGTTCCTGACATGCCTTTTATTCTGGCTCAAAAAAAAAATTTGAAAAAGAAAAATGACTTATTTACACACCTGTACACTACCCTCAAGAAACACCTTTGATTCTTTATGATAAAATTAAATATGTACAATAATAAAAACAAACTTCAAGAAAGGTAGAAAGAAACTAAGATGGAAAAAAGTTATCAATCTTTCCAAAATCTTAAATACAGCAATTGACGTTTTATCTCAGATGTTACAGTTTGTTTTTAAAGTTTATTCAAAAATCTTTTCATGTTGGATACTTCTGACAAGTCACCACAAGATGGAGGTACATCTGTGGCTTGAATTAGGTATGTTTTTGAAGTATTGAGACTACAATGCTGTTATCAATAACAAAAAAATCTAACTATGTAAATTTCACTTGAAACTATGCTTCAAAAACTGTTGCAAGACTTAACAACTACTTACTCAAAACAACCAGGAAGAGGATAGATGGCTAAAATTTATAAAACATCTTCCATTGATTAACCAAGAAACAACCTGATATTTTAAGTCATGACCCAAAGGCTCCAAAATAACATATTTCACTGAACTATCTCTTATATTTTCCTACGGTCTTTTAAACATATTTAGGTTCTTTTAAAAGATTTGCTTTTCAAATACTATTTAATCAGAAGTTAATTCTAGAGTTGTGATTAGAACCCAGGAAATTCATTTAAAACACTTCTCCAGTTCATCTTAAATGTAAATGGCTTTAAAAAAACCAACCTAAATCTCAGAAAATATGCTGTAGTTGTACATCACTGCATTCTAGAGAGGAGGATCTGAGTTTCTGTTCTACTGCTGTCAGTATACACCTATGTGATCTTAGACAAGATAGTTTTATGTAGTCTATGTTCTTACTCTCTATTTCAGTTGTTATTTCTATTCAGGTTATTTCAATTAAAAAACCTCTTTTTCACACAAGAGCCATTTTGATGAGGTCCTCACTGGTCAAGGGGGATAATTTGAACAAAAAAGCAAACAGTAAATTTAAAGTCATGTGTACAATAATGCTAAAAAAAATCTTTTTTTCACTCATAGGATACCACTGGAGGTTGTTAAGGGACCAAAACATTAGTCTACAAAAGGATAAAGGGAAAGTATTAAGTATTTATCCTGCCATGCTATATACCCTACAGAAGCAAGGCTCTTCTACAACAGAATTCGGGCTTGTAAATGTAACAGAAACAATAGATTTGGAAAATCATTATTTTGTAAGTTATTTAATGCAAACTGATTCAGATGAGGTCTTGCTATCTTGCTATATTGCACAGACTGGTCCCAACTCCTGGGCTCAAGCAATCCTCCCATCCTGGCCTCCCAAAGTGCTGAGATTACAAGTGTGAGCCACCACACCCAGCCTAGACCATGATTTGAACAAGTCAACCATAAATATTATATTTAGGAAACAAGTAGAAAATTATTTTAATGGATTGGATATTCGCTATTAAAATATTATTGTAATTTGATCGGGTGGGATATTGACAGTGGACATATGGAAGTGTGTTTTTTAAATATATCTTCAAGTATATAGATTAAAATGACATTACATCTGGGATGTGTTTTAGACAAAATAGGAAGGGAAGGTAAGAAACAAGTATGGCAAAGTTTACTGGTAACTGAAGGGAAGGTAAGAAACAAGTATGGCAAAGTTTACTGGTAACTGAAGCTGTATTACAGGTATATGGAGGTATATAACATATTTTCTCTCTTTCAGTGAACACTTAAAACTTTTTATAATTATAAATCACTCTTTCATACAATGTTCAATATATAAGGTTGACAAAGTTTATTATCAAGAAACTTTAGTAGTAGGTTTTTAAAAAGAACGTTTTGGTTTTAGAATACTGAAAGATGACAATCCACGACAGGACATACACAAACAAAGATAATTAAAATATTAAATACTATCTAAATTAAAAGACCATAATTCAAATTGCTAATTATCTTTGTGTCTTGGTAGAAGAACTTGTAATTCCCCTTCATGAAATTCACCCCAACTTCTCATGAAGACTACAAAGCCTCACCACAAACCCAACTATTGACTTTACAGTAATCAATGCTGAGTTTTTGTGCTTAAGCATGCACTATCACAGAAAACACAAAATCCTATTTATAGGGATTTTTAGTTTCCTTTAATATGTATCCATCTCCAGCATCTTTTAAAGTGCGAGCTATAGGCTGTATCCTTAAAGAAAAAGGCTTCTTTCTAAAAGAAGTGTAAGATAGCTATCCAGTACTGGCCAGCAGTGGTTATATAACTAACCAAAGGAAACCAGCAGCACTCTACTAACTCTGTTTTAGTGTAGTAACCTCTTCCCTTGTGAGTTGAGTTCTTAGCTCTTATTATACTACCAGCCGAACATGTACTCCATTGCTTTGGATACAAAACTTTCATCTTTTTTTGGCGTTTGTTTGTCAGAAATAACCTATTAAAAGCAAACACACACAAAAAATTGTTAGATTATGGTTTCTTCAATGTCACAGTAGTCAATTTTAGAGTTAATCATTGCTTCAAAAGAGAAACACTAGAATGCATTTACAGCATTGAATTGCATATTTAAAAAATTAAAATATCCTTACATTGTCAAGAATGATGACATGTTATTTCTTTGACAAAGCAAAGAACACATTAAATTAGAAAACTGAGCAAAGAACACAAAAGCTGCCAGAAATGGGGGATTTAAATATCAGTAATACAAACTAAAAGGAAAAAAAAGCAATTCTAGAATCATCTCTAAATTTCAGGGGAAGTCAAAATACTAAACTATCACTACCTGTAAAACAAGTGTACAGTTTCAGGACCTGTGCTTATAGCTGATTAAGCTCAGAGTACTTGGCTTATTAGTAGGAAAAAATAATACATTGAATGAGGATCACAACCTTCTACTATTCTTCAAAGAATATAATAAGCTTCTTCAAACTTTTTGAAATGAGATATGTTTCTTCTCTGAATGGAGGTGGTCAATGTCTTCTTTTGGTAACCAAAGCTACTCCAAACTAAAATTCTTCACTTCTGATACCATCAGATTCAGTACTCAGTTTAATGGGGTTTTAATATTCCCTTATGCCACAGATATGCAAAGATGTCACTTTGTATGTGTGCAAATATAACATAGAAAAAAAACAAAAATAACACTTAAAATGTTTTAAGGAATGGCAAATATGTTTTTTAAAAACTCAAGATAACTTTCCAATTGGCCAAGATACTAACTTGAAAATAAGAAACTCTAAAAGTTAAACAGTTCCATCAAGGCAATTGTCTCAGCCAAAAATATTCACTGGTATACAATGCAATTCAATCAAAAAGTTGAACATGCCATGCACTCAGCCTTTAAAGTACATCTTTTTTATCCAATCCTTAAAATACCTGGTAGTCATTAGTAGAAGCTTTGTATGCTGTAGCAAGAGGTCTCATAGTAGAAATCCTAGGAGTACTTCCAGGTTGTGATGGTGTACCCAAGGTTTTGATTGGTGGAGTAAAGGGTAGAGATGGAGATGAGAAAGCACTTCTGTCACTGTTTTCCATAACACTCTGGAGAAACAAAGAAACAACTCCTCTGTATATAAACATAGTACCTACTATCCAATAGTATATCCTACTTAAACAAAGTATTAAAAGAAGCATACTTTATTTGATTTAGTTAAACTTTCAAGTAAGGCTTAAGAAAACAGTACATGCTTCTTACCTAGCATCTGAGATCTAATGGTTAGCCAGGAATCTCATTTCAGGACCCTCAAACAACCTTAATACAACCATAGACCATAAGAATATGAATCTAAAACACCAGGAAAAATCAGCAAGAACAAAAGAAAGAATTCTACAATACTCAGTGATTTATCACAGAAACAAAGAAAGAGCACCACATGTTCTCACTCACAAGTGGACCCTGAACATTTACCATAATACTGTAAGAAACAGATTGGTAGTAGCCAGAAACTGCTAGGGGAGGGAGGAGAAGCACATAACATCAATAAGGGTACCTGATCTCAAACCAGGCAAAGTGGGGACCAAAGGGAGGTCCAAACTTTACCTGTACAATGACCACTTATATCTAATCCTGAATTGTACCCCACATCTAAAATAAAATATCAAATAAAATAAAGTAAATAAAATAAAATGATCCCATAGAATTAAGGAAAGAGGGGAAAGAATTCTTGGAGAAACCTGGGCTAGAAGAAAGAATGTCCAAAGCTATTCAGTACTCAGTAATCCAAGCATTCTTCTAGTTTGTGTGAAAATCTGTTATAGTACAGTATAATATTAGTAACTATACAACCACACAGCTACAACAGATTATAACAGGGAACACATCTGCCTTGTTCACAAATGTGTATACATCAGCATCAAGCACAATACAAGCACAATGTACCCATAGTCCAAGTTCACATAGATTTATTTAAAGAAAGTTCACAATGATTTTACAAGCCAAAAAGAAAAGTTTAAATTGTATTCATTATTTAATAAGTATATAAATAAAGGATTATTTCTAAATATTTTGAAATGGAACTAACAAAAAGTTTCAGCTTTTGTAACCATTCATGAAAACTAATTCATTATAAAATACCACCATTCTTTTAAAGAATCTGATATTGCTTTGCACAAGAAACAAAACGGGTTAGTAGTCTAAAGAGACCTAAAACCTAGGCCTCACCTCTAACAACTCTGGACAAGTTACTTAAGCTCTTGGCTTCTTTCCTTTACTGATAACGCAGGAGCTGTGATGAACTATCTCCACATTCTAAAGTCTTATGACTAAATACCTTTGGCTTCCCATGAAGAGTACTATAAATATCATTTAACAAACTATGAAAAAGAGGCACAGTAAAGCCAAGTGACATAACCACCAATTTCAATACTTAGTCTTGTGCTAGCAATATAGATTAAGCTATTTTCCTTACATCACCAATGACTTACTTTATCAATACATGGTTTTACACCAATCATGATGGATTCTCCAAAAATCCTCCCATCTTTGCTTAAGGCCTTTCGGGCCTGCAGTTTAGACTGATAACGAATATGCATCCAATTTCCTGTGTTAGACATCTGCAAAGAATGAAATTGCTTCTTAAAATATAAAATAAATAAAATCTATACCTAATGAATTTTATTAGAAAATAGAAACATGTGAAGATAAATTTACTTCTATTTTTTATTGCTTGCCCTGTAAAAAGCTATATACTAGGGTTCAACAAAAATCCTATGGAACAGTTTTAGTAATCTCTAGCTGGTTCTCAATTCTCTGAAATAAAGAATATGTGGCAAATATTCTCTGAAAGTAAAGTAAGTCTCAAAAGATAATTTTTTCTTGAAAAAGGTCATATCGACACTTTTTTAAAAAACTGTATTCAATCTGATTTTGTGTAGGAGTAAAATAAGTCAATCTCAGTAACAGAAAAAGATTTGTTATTTATAACTTGAGGTACAAGGTAAGATAATTTTTCTAAAGTCCTCTATAAGCTAAAAAGCTCTAAAAACTCTCTATATAAATTCAGGAACTTCCTCCTCTTCCTTAATCCCCAACAGAACAAACTCAAATTGGAAAACAGTAATATAATATTTGGTATAATAAATCTTTTTTAAGAGACTGAAAACTATTTAAGAAAGGAGGTGGGGGAGGATCCTGAAACTCTCACTCTTCCTCTTTTCTCAGTTTAACTCTTTATATCAAACACTATGCAACTTTCAGCCTTCTAGATTCCAAAGGACATATTTAACCAGAACTTTTTTAAAAAGAAAAAAAAATTTAAGTTCAGAAAAAACACAAAATTCAGAAGCAAAGTTTTTCTAAATTCACAACTTATCCTTCCTAAGCCAAAATCTTGAAAAAAATTAAGCCTTACCACATGTTTTAAGATATTCCCATATTGTGCAAATTGTAATAATATATAGGAAGCAGATGCTTGAGGAAACCTGAAAAAAAGAGTTGTCCAAACAAAACAGTCAACTTCCACTATCAATACGACTGTAAATTACCATATTTTAAAGTATTACAAGGTAAAATTCCCCCCAACTGTCACTGTCTAGTACGTTAATAAAAGATTCCTGATTATCCTATTTTCCTCTACACCAGTTAACTCTATAATGACCAATCACTCAAAAGCAAATATCTTAAGGTTAATTATGTTTCAATCATTTTTCCCCATGCTCACATTCTACTTCTGAAATCTCTAAAAATGCCACTCACATTGTTATTACCACAGCTCTTAGCAAAGAGCTGTCATGCTGCAGTTCTGCTTATAATTTGTTTTACAATATGTTTATATGCAATATTTAAGTATATCAAGGTTATTAAAAGGGAAAAAAATTAAATTACAGAAACATATCATTATGCACTGAGCATCACCTAAAAATCCTGAAGTTTAGCCCCAAAACAAAAAAAAATTCAGCACCAATATCAATGGTATAAAATCATTTCGAAGGCTGTTACCAAAATTTTATTAGCCATTTTGTTATGGGAAAATTCTAAGTGATTTTTTTTTTTACTTTCTTCTTTGTAAAGTTCTTATGGTTTGAATATTTTACAATGAAACACTATTTCTACTTTTACAGTCCTAATAATAAAGCTATTTTCAATTTGAAAACAATAGTCACTATCAATAGTATGGAAACATCTATCTGGAGGTTCTTTAACCACTAACTTCAGTTATCTTGAGCTGGGTTAGAACCTTAAAGGAAAAAAAACCTGGGTCACAAAATTAAATGAGACACTAAACACATTAAAATCTATGTGAGTAAATTAGTCACTGCATTCACAACTGGAATTTTACTTTGTTTTACTTATGTAACTCTGGATGTACAATTTCTAACCCCAAAGAAAAACAAGATGGCGTGCACACAGAAAAGAGATAAAGAAAACAGACATGAAAGAGAAAAATAATGGCTGCAAGTAAGGGACATACAAAATATATTCTAGGACTCTTGGATCGCTTTGAGTTAAAACTCATATTCTAATACTCTTGTACAAATTACCCAAATCATTGATTGGTATTTCATGATGACTCTTAGTCAGCAAGATAAAGCTAAACTATCAGAGAAAGAACATATACATTTTTAAAAGTACTTCCCTGTAAGTGATCAAAATAAAATGTTTTATCACTTAAAAAAATGCTTCAGTTCTTGCAATTAAATTCATATAGAGGGTTACTGAAACATAAAAGTATCAAAATAAATAGCTAGGAAAGTGATGTCTTAAATATGAACAAAAAGGCTAGAAATACTTCAAGTAAGTTATCTAATTACTAAGAATCTCAAAAGTGATACTATTAACAATTGAGCCTTAAAAACAGATTTAAAAGTGAACATCTATGTTCTAATACATTCAGCTATTTTAGAAGAGAATATACAAATTTAAACATAAAAGAAGAAAAACTCAAGAAATCAGATATAGTACTGAGTATAAGCTTTCTAGAGAAAAGGGAACACAATGACCCTGCTTTTTTTTAATCTAAAAAGACTCAGTAACACAGGATCTCTCTGAAAAAATACACAAAAACCAGGTAGCAATCATTGCCTCAAAGAGCAGAAAAACTGTAGCTAGGGACAAAAGCAGGAAGACTTTTCACTGTATACTCTTACATATCTTTTGAATTTTTAAATTTAAAAAAATTGAATGCATAAAATCTACTAAACATTTATTGTGAACTTTTTTCTTTCAAGGAACTTATGGGTTATTAGTGTATTTTTATCTCAAAAACAAATATAATAGATATATAGTCTAGTATTAGTATGGCAAATCACATTTTCAGGAAAAAAACCTCACACAATATAAATATCAGCTTGATAATCTAAAGATCTGAGATTTTGCTGAAGCTTTGCTATTATCTAGTTGTGAGCCACTGAACAAACCACTGAATCTGTTATACCTGTTTCCTCATCTGTAAAATAAAAAGTTATACAGTATCTCTACGGTGCTTTAAAGTGCTTTTTGAATCTAAAAATCTATTCAAAATGCACCTAGAACTGTCATACTGTTTCCATTAATATACGATATGCTGTGACTAAAAGGTATCACAAGTCTGTGTGCGAAGTTCAACTTATTTGTTCAAAACTGGTTAAGTCCAGTAAGTAAAAAAAACAGCCACTAGAAAAAGAAGGAAAGGAGCTCTCTAAGTCTAAAGGGGCAACCCTTCTCTAAATCCAGAAAATACCATATGCTTAAGAGAAAATAATTTGGGAAGAAATAAACAAATTATTATTTTTAAATACCTACAAACAAATGCCAAACCCTAGCTAATGCTATATGCATGCTAAAGTGTCAGGGTAATATGTACTCTTGTCTACAACTTAGTATAAAATGTACCGATAAAAAAGTGAATTAGAGGATGGGTAAGTGACAGATACAACAAATGTAGCAAATTATTAATAACTAGGTATACAGTCTGCTGAGCAATTCTTTCCATTTGTCTGATATGTTTGATAATATTCATTAGAAAATAATGAGGTAAGGGTATTTTTTTAAAAAGGTAAAAGATCCAAAAATCTTACCCAAACACAGTCACCCAGGTGTCATCGAGGTGATCTTCTGAAGTCAGAGAATCTCCTTGAGTATAAAAGGGATCCAGTTGGGCAGGAGATAATGTTGTCTTTCGCGGCTGACCAATATTTGCAGGACTAAACATGCTTTGCCCTGTGGTAGTATATTTGGTACGTTAGTCACCAGTATCAACACTTTGGTTTATTTTAAATCAAAGATCTTAAATGATAAAGTACATTAAAAGTTGGCGATTATATAAATAGCTTAAAACATACAACTGTGACCAAATGGCAACTTCATCTACTATACAATAAGAAAAAATAATAATTGGGCATGATTTATAATTTTGCAAATGTTTTGTTTTATATGTTATAAATCTATTAAATGCATTATCAATTTCTGGTTACACTGACAACAGAAGAATTTCACAGTCACAAAAACTTCTGCTCAATTCATCTTTCAAACCTACCACTTTCATCAGAGCACCTCTGTCTTAAAAATATGCAAAAACTCATAACTCACAGGACAAAATCCAAATGACTTGGCCTCTACCATATGGTCCAAGTCCTATTTTTCCAGTAGGCAACTAAACAGTATCTACCCTTCTCCTGACAATGTGAATGCAGTTTTCCTTTTCATGGATCATTTTCTGTTTTTTCTTATTCTTCACTAGCAGCTACTAATTAATGAGTACTCTGTATCCAACACGCCCCACTAAATAAACACTTTACACGTTCATTTTATCTCCGAAGCAAGATCACATTAAGCCTACACATTTGAGAAGCAGAGATAATTGTCCTTTCATCTTTTAGTAGCAATAATGACTCACTCACTCAAGAATTATTTTTTCCACCACTTAAATTTACACTAAGCATCATTCAGAGTATTAAGAATATGCAGTGAACAAATAAGACAATAACAAAAATAAAAAGCATCATCCCTAATGGAGCCTAAATTCTAGAGGAAGAGAGACAAAAAGGAGAAAAATTCTATAGAGGAAAACAATAATAAAGCAGAGAAGGCAATAAGAATCATCTCTTTGTATGGAAGGGTTAAACGAAAAGAGATTTCACTGAGGTGCCGTTAAAGCAAAAATCTGAAAAAGAAGGTGGCAAAATCTAAAAAAAATTGAATACTGGGCAAGAAAGTAACAAAAGCCAAGGCCCTGAGAAAGGACATAACTGGTGTAAGATAAACAGCAAGAAAGCCACTATTTGCAGTTAGAGAGGGGGAAATTAGGTCAGAACAAGAAGATGAGAACAGAGGTGACAGTGCGCCTGATCATGAAGAAAACCTTATAAGTCACTGTAAAGGCTTTGTTAGAGGGGGAAAAAAAGTGCGTGTGTGTGTGTGTGTGTGTGTGTGTGTGTGTGTGTGTAGCATTTCTACACACCAATAACAATTTAGCTGAGAAAAAATCAAGGTGGCAATCCCACTTACAACAGCCACAAAAAATTAACAATAAAATACCTAGAAGTAAATTTAACTAAGGGAGTGAAAGATCTCTATGATAAAAACTACAAAATATTGAAGAGAGAAAAACTGACACAACCAAATGAAAAACATCATGCTCTAAGATTAGAAGAATGAATATCCGTAAAATGATCATATCGTCCAAAGCAATCTACAGATTCAATGCAATCCCTGTTAAAATACCAACATTTTTCACAGAATTGGAAAAAATAAATCTCAAATTCACTGAGAATGAAAAAAGAGCCCAAATAGCCAAAGCAATCCTAAACAAAAAGAACAAAGTAGGAGGCACACAGTATTCATATAGTATTACCTGACTTCAAATTACATTACAAGGCTATAATTACCAAAACAGATTTTATACTAAATTTCCTTCTACTATCTTTGGTTTATTATGGCATGTTTTTATAGTGAGAACTAAATTTATTTAAGAATATCTGTTTTATAAATGTATGCTTCTGCTTATTTCCTAAATGGAAAGTTGACAAGTTAGTCAATATGTAGATTTTTAAAAACAGACAGCACTGTCAAAGTGGGATGTTTCATTTAAAGTCATCCTTATGTTAGAAATAGGTTGAACAGGTTGAGTATCCCTATTCACCTGATCTCGCCCCGATCCATGGGTTTTTTGTTTCCCCGATTAAAAAAAAAAAAAAAATCCTCAAAGGGAAACATTTTGCCAATGTGGAAGAGGTAAAACAAAAAAACAGTAGAAGCACTAAAAGGCTCAAAATCAACAAGCTCAAAAACTGTTTTGAACAGTGGAAAAAGTATCTCAATGTGCGTAATGCATTAAAAGAGTACTTTTAAGGTGACTAAAGTTTAAACATGCAGGAATTAATATACAATTTTTATAAATAAATTCTGGGTTTTTGGAAGTACCCCCTTGTAGAACTACCATACAATCAAGCAATCTCTCTACTGAGTATCTATCCAAAGGAAAAGAAGTCAACATATTAAAAAGATACCTGCACCTGTGTATTTATCACAGCACTATGCACAACAGCAAAGTAAGGAATCAATCCAAGCATCCATCAGTGGATGACTGGATAAAGAAAATGTGGTATATATACACAATGAAATAATATTCAGTCATTTAAAAAAAAAATGAGTGCCACATGTTCACACTTATAAGTGAACCTTGAACAATTATCATAATACTGTAAGAAAGGTATTGGCAGTAGTGGGACACTGCCAGGGGAGAAGGGGTGGAATTGGCAGTAGTGGGAAACTGCCAGGGGAAGGGGGGCACACCCCATCAACGGTCCCTGCATAACGCACATTTGTATTATACCCCAAATTGTATCCTACTTCTTTAAAATTAAAAATTTTTTTTTAAAAAGGAAATCACATCTTTTTCAATAACATGGATGGAACTGGAGGTCATTATCTTAGTGAAACAATCTAGCACAAAAAGACAAGTATTGAATGTTGTCATTCTCAAGTGGGTGTTTAAAAAAAATGTGTTCCCATGGGCACAGAGAGTGAAATGACAGAACATGGAGACATGGAAGGGTGAGGGGTGGAAAGAGGGTAGATGATGAGAAAGTGTTAATGAGTACAATGTACACTATTTAGATGATAGATACTCTAAAATCCTGACTTGGCCACTATGAAATATATGTACATAATAAAATTGCCCATATATCCCTTAAATTTGTACAAATAAAAAGGGAAAAATTCTTATCCAGAATAGTTGAAGATTAACTGAGAGCATGTTTAAAAAAGATTCAATGTTACTTTCCGTTATCTATAAGAGAATTATGGATTACTTTCAATGTTACTTTTCCTTATCCATAATAAATCTGTAACACAAAACTTGTCTGTTACTCCAAGAATCAAATGGGACAGTAGATAGACAAGAGCTCACAAAAGTTTATTAACAATATGTAACTTCATAATAAGTTAAGCATTTGGCACAATTTTTCTTGTACAACAGCACAAATATATTCATAAAGTCTAAAAGACTTCTAGGAATAATATCCATCTCTTGTCTCCAAACAATACCAAAACAAAACTATACCCTGGACAGGATCAAAAATTAACATTATCAAGTAAAAACTACAATGCAACAACGTGATTCTAATTGAAGAGAAAAAAAGTCACCTAAGAATTTCAAAAAGCTTAACTCTTTAATTAAAAGCTAGACAGTTTGAGTTACTAGATGTCTTTGAACTCAAATTTAGAAACCAGAACTAGTCTAAGGTAAACTTTCCTTCAGGAAAAATGTTTCAGATCACATTAGATCTAATAGACTTATTAAAGAACCTATTTAATTCAGAACACAATCCTAGATCCTACCAGAAAACAATGAAAGATGTTCAGCCGTCAAGTAACCAGGCTAAAATATAATTCACCAGCTAAAAAGTTTGAAAAGCCAATATTCAAATACTTTTGTAAAAACAAGTCAATGAAGATAAGCAATAAGTATTAACCCTAGAAAAAACAAAAAGGTATACAAAAGAAAATGGAATCCCAGAAAATTACATGGCTCGGTCTTATAGAATTATCTGACTTAAACATTAAGTTCATGCTTAATTTAAAAAAAATACAATGTAAATAATTTAAAGGAATGCTAAATGACATACATCCTATAACGCATTTAAATAGTCATTATTTTTCCTTATCACCATATACGTATTTAACAGTCACAGGCTGGTCAAATGTGATGGTTCACGCCTATAATCCCAGCACTCTGAAGACAAGGCAGGAGAATGGCTTGAGGCCAGGAGTTCAAGACCAGCCTGGGCAACATATCCAGATCACATCTCCACAAAAAAATACAAACATTAGCCAGGTGTGGTAATGCATGCCTATAGTCCCAGCTACTTGGGAAGCTGAGGCAGGAGGATCTCTTGATCCCAGGAGTTCAAGGCTACAGTTAAGCCCTGATTGTACCACTGCACTCTAGCCTAGATAACAGAGAGAAATCCTGTCTCCAAAAAAAAAAAAAAGGTACAGGCTGAATGTTCCAAATCTGAAAATCCAAAATCCAAATTGCTCCAAAATTTGTAACTTTTTGAGAACCAACATAGTACTCAAAGGAAATGCTCATGGGAATATTTCATATTGCAGATGTTCAATGGTTAACCTGTAAGTACAAAGCAAATATTCCAAAACCCAAAGAAATTCAAAATCTAAAATCCCTTTGGTCCCAAATAGTTCTGATAAAGGATACTCAACATGTTCAACCTATTTCTAAAATAAGATTGACTTTAAATGAAGCATCCCACTTTGACAGTGCTGTCTGTTTTTAAAAATCTGCTTACTAACTTGTCAACTTTCCATTTAGGAAGCGGAAGCATACATTTATAAAACAGATACCCTTAAATAAATTTAGTTCTTACTATAAAAACATGCCATAATAAACCAAAGATAGTAGAAGGAAATGTAGTGTAAAATCTGAAGCCAATTCAAATTTTCAATGTTCTGTATTACCATTAAGAAGATACAGTTTAGTTATGCTACATCATGTAGTAACCTTCAAGCAAGAAATTAAATGAAGGCTCAAACTGAGACAACCATTATGACCTTTAAAAATAAAACAAATCAAAATTAAGTCTCAAATGAATAAGCAATCTAATTTTTGCCCTGTCAACTATTCTAAAAAATATACTTACTTATACATAATCTAAAACTATTTACATAACTGCAGCATAATTGGTCCCCACCTAGTAAAT